AGGCACCACCAAAAGATGCAGAGTTGCCATTACTCAATAACCCATAGAGCATTATCAAAAGCAGTTAGGGAACACCTAAGGTGTTCCTGTGAGCTATTCTATGCCCTCGGAAAGAATCGAACTTCCCACGCCGTTTTACAAGAACGGAGTTATACCACTTAACTACGAAGGCGAGGCTCGAGTATGTCGGTATTCAGACTAAGAGCAGTTAGTGCTAGTGTCATAAAGAACCTATAGGAGAATCGAACTCCTTTCTCATGCGTGAAGGGCATGGGTAGGATAGTGGAATCGAACTACTTTCGCGCATTCATCGGATGCGTATTCTACCTTAGAAACACTTGGAACACCTTTGGTGTTCTTAGAAGCGACTTAGAACACATCAACACTACTTATAGTCTAACGAATCAGGCATCAAAAGTGGAGGCATATAAAGCACTGAGACTAGGAAAATGTATGAAACATCTCAAACATCTAGGATGTTTTACCTTATGGATTTGAAACATTGAACACCTAAGGTGTTCCTCTCCAAATAAGTTTGTACAACCCTAAAAACGTATTCTTCCTATAAGATACTACAGGTTCGGACTATAAGCATGCACATTCTCCTTTAATGGATTTTCGTTTCCTTTTCCTAACGCTAAAGCGTGTCAGAGATGTTTGCGCATACGCCAGGCTTTCTAAATCGCCCGCTATGCCCCCTGGGTTTGTACTAATGGCTCCTTAGAGTATATTGACATCGGGGTAATTTCAGGGATACTTTACCGACCAGGCTGATGGGCCGGTTTAGCTCTTGGGGCCCAACTTCGTTGGGGGATGTTCCTTTAAAGACAGTAAGGGATCAACACTCTTGGTGTTGATCTAAATATATATCTTATAGTCGTTTGGCGGGTCGGCGGAAGGCCTTCTAGGCTGACCCCTTTTAGGCTGACCCCTTCTAGGCTGACCCCTTAGGCTCAAATCATTTAAGAAGCCCTTGGAGAGTGGCCGCCTGGATGGGCTAATGATAAGCTTAATCAAACAAATCTAGATTTCCTAAGTTGATCTCCCTGTTTTTTTTAGGGCCCCCCCAAAGGGGATGCCCGTAGGGGCCCCCAAAGGGGGGTCGGAAATATCGATTGGGATTTATAGGTCTGAAACTAATTTCCATGAGACCTCCGGACCGTTTTGGTGAAATTTTCAATTGTTTTATTATGGGTTTTCTTCAAACTAGTTTTGTAGCAATTTAGTTGATTGGCGTTCTTTACGGGGCAAGCTTTTGGATTAGTGTGGCCAATAGCACTACAAAAGCCGGTAACGAAAAGCTTTCGGCCTATGAGTGCGGTTTCTCGCCAACCGGTAGCAGTCGATTTAAATTTGAGGTTCTATACTATATTGTTGGTCTTTAGTATATAATATTTGATTAGGAAGTACTATTTTTGGTGCCTTAGGCAACAATTCTTCCTTTTATAGATTCTTATTAGATTTTCGGGCTTGCGAATATATTTATTGTAATTATTACGGTAAGTTTTATTTACGAATATCTAGTGGGAGCTTAGGACTAGACCTAAGATGGAGGGGTGATCAGAAACTTCTTAACGAGCACACGCACATGTGCTTCGGGGCCTTCGGTGGGCCCAAAGGTTAGGTTGGCGGGGGAGTTCTAAGAACTTCCCAAAATAAAAGATTTCCCAAAAAACATCTATGTTTCCAACTCTTACGTACTCGCTATTTAACCTCTTGCCACCTCCCTAGGCTTTCCAAACCCATAGGGGGGCGTTGAAGGGCTAAGGGGCCATGACCAGCTTTAAGGTTTCCTGGCAAGCGAAGGATTGAAAAGCCAAACGGCCTTCCTCCGCGCCTCGGGCGCAACGACGCCCGTCCCAAACATCATAGAGGTTTTAAAACCGTCGGGAGACTCAGCCCTCCGGGGTGCGAGTCTGGCCCAATTTGCTTAGCACCCTAGGTTACATTATTCATTACGGGCCGCGGCCCGCCCTCCCCCACCACTCCGAGTGGTGCCGGTCGGCCGGGACCCCGGAAAATTGGTTGGGGTGGGGCACGAGCTCCCTCCCCCCACAACCCGCCCGCGGTGTCTTAGGTGGGTTGCGCTTTCCAATTTTTTCCTTTTCCTTTCCTTATGAAAATTACTAAAAGAAATCCTTTGCTGTCGATTGTTAACGACTTTTTGATTGATTCCCCAGTGGCCCCTAACCTTACTTATTTTTGGTCGTTTGGTTCTCTACTGGGACTTAACTTGATTGTAATGATTATTACAGGGATTCTACTTGCGATGCACTATGTTGCTAATACTTCGCTTGCCTTCGAATCGGTTGAGCATACTTTACATCTGTTATAGACCCTCCTTTAGCCTTACTAGGTTTAAAATTGCGTGTAGGAGTATAAGTTTACATCTCTACTCCAAAAGAGAAAAACATCAGAGAAAAACATCAGAGATGTTTCTAAAACTGACTTCCTCTAAAACTGACTTCCTCTAAAACTAAGCCCCCCCCCAAGCGAAGCCCTAAAGATATGTCTCCGGACCCCCTCCGGGGGGTTTCAAACATCTCTGATGTTTCTTAACTTTAAATATGTAGTGGACCCGGTGATTCAACGCGATAGCCTAAATTTTGAATGACCCTAAGTATATGTTTGG